GCCAAGCACACTTGAATTATTAAATCCACCCTGAAAAAGCAATCTGGGCTTGGGAAACGTGGCATTCCCAGGAGGAGAGGAGCAGAGAGCACAGCCCCAAGGCTTTGTTTGGCTTCATATTGATGCTGTGCTTGGCAGCAGGAAGATCCCACGTGAGCCAAGTGTGGTCAGTGCAGGTCATACCTGCAGAAGGAATGTTCCCAGGAGCACTGAGCTGCCTGGAAGTGCTGAGACAAGTGTGACAGAGAGGGATGTGTGGTCATGCTCTGTATTGCCTAACCAGAGGGGAGGATCCTGCAGCTGATGCTTCTCCTGCCCTGGCACAAGGACAGGTCACAGGGCTGGAGCCCAGAGCACCCAGTGAGCCTCAGGAGTTCTCACTGGGACCAGCTGGCTTGGGCAGGGGCAATCCCTGCTTTTCCTCCCCTGAGTGCTTTGGGTGGGTGGCAACTGTGAAATGATCCAGGTGGGAGCAACAGGGAATCCTGAGGATTGTTCCCAGGTAGTGCTGCAGCAGCCAGGGGTTATGTTTGTGTCTCTGCCCCATTTTCTGCAGGCAATTTTACCAAGCCTGCAAAACAGGCATCATGGACCAGGCTCTCTCCATCTATTTCCTGCTGGGATGGCTGGGAGGAGATCTCCTCAACCTCATCGGCTCCTTCCTGGCTGAGCAGCTGCCCCTGCAGGTACTGACTGAATCCCTGGGGCAGCTCTCCAACACCCCAAACTCCAGGGAGGAGGGAAGGGGTGGGAGTTGCTTTATCCAGCATGGGCAATCAGAGACCTAACAGCCTGGGATGCTCCCTCTTTCCCCTTGGCTTGCTCCCTTCTCCCTCTGGGAGTTGCTCTCTTCTCCCTATCAGGGTTCCTCCCTTTTCCCTCTAAGGGTTGTTCCCTTCTTCCCCCCTGGGATTGCTCCCTTCTTCCTCTCAGGGATGCTCCTTCTTTCTCCCCTGAGGTTGTTTCCTTTTCACCCTCCTTTTCACCTTCTCCCCTTCCAGAGTTACTCCCTGCTTTTCCACCTGGGGATGTTCCCTCTTTCCTCCCCAGGGATGTTCCCTTCTCTCCCAGGGATGCTGGCTCATCCCAGCCACCACCTGGAAACCTTCCTGCAGGAAGGCCCAGCCTGTCCCTCCCTCCCTACAGGTTTACACAGCCATTTACTATGTGTTGGCAGACCTGGTGATGCTGTCCCTGTACTGCTACTACACTGTGAAGAACAAGGGCAGAGGATGTGAGTTGGGACACAAATTTGGGGTCCTGAGCTCCCCTTGGCTCACCTGTCAACCTGGTTTGTCCTTGTCTGCAGAGCTGGGAGGGGAAGGAATCCCCAGGGAGGTCCCAGAGGCAGAGATGCTTTGCAGATGTATTGATGCAGCTGTTAGATGCCTCTTACTGCTTGATGTTCTTTTTCCCCCATGGATAATTTGAGCTCCTAGGAAAGCCAAAGCCAACAAATAGCTCCAACCCTGCAAACCACCACACAAAGAGTGTCCAGGTTGAAAATCAACTCCCTGTGAGTTGCATTGGGCATAGAAATGTACCCACAGTTAAGTGGTGACTCCACCTCAGAGCTGGAAACCACCAAACTCCTGACCCAGGCCAGTGCTGTAAGGGAAAGGGGAAGTTTTCCCACTGTTTCAGGGTCTGTGCTCCGGCTCTGACACGATGGGGGAAGTTCCTCCCTGCTCAACTGGAGGGAAAAGGGAACCTGAGCAGTTCTTGCAAGGCTTAAAACCAGAGAAAAATCCACTTGTTAGCACTGCAGCTTCGTGAACTCCAAACCTTGGGACTGGGATGACAATTTAACTTATTAAAGACTTAAACTTACTAAACCAATTGATATTTAACCCATTCACTGTGTAGTTTTGTTAATGCTGCAGCCTTTGTTTACTGACTAGAATAAGGCAAGGCAGGGCTTGGTCTGGCAGGGATTTGAGTGTGGCTGTTCTGAGTTAAGACAGTAAAATCGTCTAGGGATGATGATTTTTTAAGTGCTCTAAACTCAGAAAAACTGAGATAGGAGCAGTTTCCTCCCTGATAAGGTACAAATTGGCCTTATCACTGTGAGATGAATCACCCACAGCAGCCACTGAACCACTTGGTGCTGGCTGAGATAAGGGAGAGTTTCTTTCCCCAGAGGGAGTTCTGGCACCCCTGAGGCTGCTCTGGGGGTGCTGGGACCCTCCCTAACAGCCTCTGCCTGATTCCTGCAGTCTCTGCCACGATCAACACAACGTTCATGTTCCTGTGCCTCTTCGTGGGGACAGTGTCGACCACCTCCCTCGTGGGCCATGGTGCCACCACACAGGGCCCAGGGACCTTCTCTGGGAGGTCTCTGCTGTCTGTGGAGGAGCTTGGGGCAAAGGTGAGCTGGTTTCCAAGCTGGGTGATGGGGTGGAGAAGATCTGGGTGGGCATGTCCATGGCTGGTGTGGTCCTGCTCAGTGGGGTGTGGGATGGCTGGGGAGATCAGGGGGTGGGTTAGGTGCTGCTGTCTCCTCACACAGGGCCATGGTGTGGGTGCTGAGGACACAGGGGCTGCTCCTGCCCCTCCCTGCCTTGCAGCCTTTCACCAGGAGTGAGATCATTGGCTTCACCGTGGGCTCTGTCTCCTCTGTGCTGTACCTGTGCTCCAGAGTGCCCCAGATCTACACCAATGTGAGTGGAACAGCCAAGCCATGGGCACCTCTGGGCTCCTCACCTGCCACATTGCAGGGGGTGGTGGCATCTTCTTCCTCCTCTTTGCTCAGACGTCCCAGGGCTCCATCTCTGGTCATGTCATAAAGGACTTTTTCTGTACTTCTGGTCCAAAACCTTCCCCTTAACATACTAATATTTTGAGGGTGGGGCTTTCAAGCAAAAGAGGAACTAAAAGGCTCTTGGCTTTGAGTCATCATCACCTTTTATCTCCTCCTTTTTTTGGGGGGGGATGGGATGATTAACACCACTTTCTAATGAGATTTCAGCTGCACCCAAGCTCCTCTCCTTGTCCTTTCTCCCAGTACAAGAGGAAATCCACCACTGGAGTCTCCTACTCCCTCTTTGCCCTGGTGATGTTGGGGAATTTGCTGTATGGCCTCAGTGTCCTCCTGAAGAACCCTGAGCCAGGGCAAGGGGAATGGGACTACATCCTGCACCACCTGCCCTGGCTGGTGGGCAGCCTAGGAGTCCTTTCCCTTGATGTGGTTGTATCCTTTCCTCAGCAGTGCTTCCCTCTAGGATCACATCCCTCTGACAAGGCTTTGCAGAGAGTGATCCTGTCAGGGCTGGGCAGGAGTGGGGGGGGTTGATGCTATTTGGTGCTTGTGATTTGTGGTGTTGCAGCAGCTGAAATGCTTCACCCTCTTGTCTGCATGAAGCTCATTGTCCTGTTTCCACCTCCCCTGGCACAAACACCCTTTTTCTAGGTGGTAGCACACAGATCCACCCCTGTGTGTGTGGAGAACCTTAACCTCTTCTCAGATCTCCTTCCAGTTCCTTGCCTATCGGAAGGGAACACCCAGCACCCACGAGGAGAGAGATGCTCTTCTGGGTGAGCAGGACAGCCCAGAGAGCTGATGAAGGGACCTGCCCTGGACTGAGAGGAGGAGGAGGAGGATGATGCAGATGAGGAAAGTGGCCTTAACCCCAGGCACATTGGTCCCTCCATCCTGGTGGATCTGGGGAGAAGAGGACTTGAGCCACTGGGTGACACGTTGTGCTGCTGAGAGTGGCAGAGGATGCTGCTGGGAGACCTCTTTGATACCAATGATGCTCTTGGGATAAAAGGGAATTATTTGATACCTCAGAAGGTCCTCTTTGCTGCTCTGAGGCCTCACAGCTCAGCCTGGTCACTGCTGCATCTCTCAAGGGTCACCTAGAGCTTCCTTGGTGCTGGAAAACCTGGAAAGAGCCTGAGTGGGAGAGGACAGAGCTGACTGACCTGTCATGGACATGAGCACCACTGTGAACCTCACAGCTCCACCACTGTGTTCCTTCTGGAAGATGCAGAGTGGCTGGAACCACTGGGAAGGAGCAGCATAGCCGAAGTGTTCCGTGCACACCTACTTGAATTAGCACAGCTCACCTGGCTATAAAACATGTCCTTGCCCCATGTGCCTCCTTTGGTTTCATTCTGCTGCTTTATCTGGCAGCTCCTGCCCCTAAATGAGTCTCATAATCCTCATTTCTTTGCCTTCTCAGTCTGTGCCTCACCCACATTGTCACTGCCTGAATTCCTTGGAGAAGTTGCTCCATTGCTTTCTGTTACCAGAGCTGCCTCTGCTCGCTCTGGGTTTGGTCCTGTCCTCTCTGGTCAATAATTTACCCCCAGCTTGATGAGTTTATCCCCCTCTCAGGGCCCTGCACAGCAGCACGGTGGCTCCTGCACCAGGGAAGGACTGGAAGCAGTGGTGCTTTGGGAAAAGCTGTGTCCCAGCAGAGGTGTAGCCATGCAGTGGCTGGACCAGCCCAGCACCACAGGCTCCCCTCATGTGCTGAGCTGGGGAGGAGCAGCTCAGTCTCACTGGGAAAGCAAGAAGAAAACCAACTAAAGCTTGTAGATCCTCAGGAAAAACTATCAGAGCTTTTCCTTGTGCAAACAACAGCTTTTCTTCTCCTGCAGTCATGATCAGCTCCTCTTTTTGCTTCCCTTTCCAGCTACTTCCCTGACACTCAGCATCATGTCCCTTTTGGCTTTAGCTGTGTTCTCATGAATCTGCAGTTCCTCAGCCAACCCCATGACACTTGTCCTTCCTGAGGAAGTCACTCTCCTCTCTGCTCTGTCCTCACTGAGGACTCCAAGCTACAACTTGGAATACACAGCTCAGCCTGGAAATGGGAGTCAGACTGCCTGATGTCCATCAACCTGCCCCAGCAGGTTAACTGAAACAAACTGGGCCAGGATTTGGGGCTGAGCCATTTGGTTTTAGGAAGAAAAAGCATTTTTTCAAACTCTTGGAGCTCCTTAAACAAAGCAGGTGAGGTCTGCACTGCAGTATTTCATGATTCTGCCCCTCCAGGCTCACATTGGCAAAGGGGCTGCAAACCTCATCCCTATCCTTAAGCCAGCAGGATCTCCTCTGCTGAATTTCCCTAGGAATTGTGCAAGGACAATTCCTGTCCAGTATTAACCCAATCCATAAGCAAATCCTTCATCTTTGCCATTCACAGCACTAAATAATTGCCATGTACTCACTGACCAAGGGCTTTTCTCAAAGCTAGACAAAGAGACCCTAACGTGAACGCCAAGGGCTTTTCTCAAAGCTTTTCCTTGTGCAAACAACAGCTAGACAAAGAGACCCTAACGTGAACTTAAAAACATCTATATACAATGTAGTTTGTCCCCACAGGTTTAGCCAAGGCACAAGTTAAGTAAAAAGTTGATTTCCTCTGACTTTAGGCTGGGCAGGATGGAGCAAGGTAAGCAGTTGTGTTTGGCAGAGGGAGGTTACACACCCACAGCCTGGCTGGGTGGAAATTCCTGTCACAGAGGCTCTCCCTGAGCTTTTCAGCTCTCCAAGACATGACTGCAGCTCTGTCCCTGCAAGTGAAGATTTCACACCCAGCAAAGACACAGAGCAGGAACAACTGTCCCAGAGTGAGGTAACCTGAAAACCTCATGGGTTTCCCCCTCCCAGGCTCAAGAGTTCACACAAACTTATCTCCAGCTTCAAAAAAAAAAAGGTTTTTTTCCTTGGACAGAACCAATGACCAAATCCTAAAGTGTCTCCCTGGGGGATCCCAGCTTGGAGGTTTCCCCAGTCTGTGTCCCACAGGAGTCACAGGCCCCAGGACATCCCATGGGCACCTGTAGGCGTCTGGGGGGGGAAACAGGTCATGTTAGGAAAGCAAAATACAGCACATTAATCACTTGCATAGGCTCACCCAAAGCTAATTCCAGTGGCCATGGCCAGGAGGAGCCCAGCAAGTATTTGCTCCCACCCTCCTCCAAATTATTATCACACAGCTAACCTGGAGGTGAGAAAACAAACCAACCCCAACCACCCTGTGAAAAAAGAAAGAGAAACGAGGACACACCAAGCACACACACTTCTTCCTGGGATTTTTTTTTCTTTTTATTGTTTTAGTCTTTTTTTTTCTTTTTTTTTTTTCCATTTTTTTTTTTTAGTATGGAGGCTCAAGTCTCAGATGTAGATTCAATTTAAGCTTTACAAAAAAAACCAAAAATCGAAACAAAAAAACCCCTTTTGCATTCCATAAAAATTGACAGAAAAGCGCCTTGGAACCAGGCTATAGAAGAGCAGAACTTTCAGCAGGTCTCCAAATCACCATCTCCTGCACATCTGGGTGAATCACTATTGTACAACCCCAAGGAACACCCTCTCTTCCCTCCCTCCCTTCAGCCAATCCCTGTGCCCAAGCCCCCAAACATACATGGAATAGATTATTTTCCTTTTTTTTTTTTTTTTTTTTTGGTTTTTTTTTTCCAGTTCTTCCTCTTTCACACACCACAGTATTTAATAAAGTTTTGTTTTACATTTTTTACACCAATGTAACAAAAGGCAGGAGGAGAGGGGGGGTGAAGGGGGAAAGGAGAAGACAAACAATGATCCGTGGTGATGCATATAAATGGGGGAAGGTGGAAAAGGGTGGGAAGGGCAGATAAAAATAATACATGGACTTCTACAGGAACAGAGCCTAAGGTCTTGATAGTAAAATGTGGTGCAAAGTAGGCCTCAGAGACTGAAAAAGTTTGTACAGCTTTATTCATGGGGAGAAGATGGTGCTGCATGGAGATATTGAATGCAAATCGTGACGTGATGGAACAGAAAAGGGCAAGGGGGGGATGAGTTCTCTACCAAAGGAATCTAACGAGTGCATGGCAGGTCTTGTTAGCATGGAGAGTATCTTAACTTTGCTGCTTTCTCTTCAAAGCCTCCACCAGGTCGTTTTTAAGAGCTTCTTGTTTTGATTTGTCTGCAAAAGTCTGCACAGACCTGTGGGGGAAAAGGGAAAGGGGAGTCAGAGGGGATGGAGAGGAGGGAAGGGCTTAACAGCCTTTCTGGCATGGGAGTGGAGAGGGAGGAGAAGCACCTCAGCCCAGGCTCAGGGAAACACTCAGCTCGGCCTGTTCCAACACGGGAAGCAGAAGGCAAAGTGAACACTCGGGTGAGTACATCAAAGCACAACTCACTCTAGCAGGAGGCACCACAGACTCGCCCGGCAGCTCAGCCTCCAGCGGCTGCAGGGAGGAGATTCCCAAGGTCTGCAAGAACCCCAGCGTCCCACCGACCAGCCAAGGGGTTAGCACTCCTGCTCTCCCAAAGTCCAGAGAAAACCCAGGGGAAGGGCCAGGCTGGGGGAGCTCCTGAACCTGCTGCAGACTTCACCCAGGGTCCAGCAGCTGCCTCAAAGCTTCCTTCCAGCATCGGTGCTGGGGGGGAACAGCCAGAGGGGCTGGGCTTGAATTTGCCTGGTTTGGACCTTCCCTAAGCAATGACAGATCCAAGAGAGGAACAGAGATACTGTCACAAGATCCTTGCAGGGCTTCCCTTTGGCTGAAAGGGCAGAGGAAAAGCTCCACCTTTCAGCAGTCGCCTCAGCTCAGTGGAGGAACCTCCAGTTTCAATGGGACAAGAAGAAATTTCCACTTTTCAAAAGGCTCCTCTTAAACATGACCATTGAGAGAATTCTAAGACCAGACTTAAATGGAGTTACCACCACAGAGAAGTGGTAGGATGCAGTTTAGTAGGATTTCTCCCCATTTAAACCACATTTCACAGACTTTTCAGTCCTCAGTACCTGCTCTAGTGGAAGGTGTCCCTGCCCATGGCAGGGATGGGATTGGATGAGCTTTAAGGTCCCTTCCAACCCAAACCATTCTGGGATTCTAGAATTCCAAGTGCTCTTATTCTGCCTGGATGCTGTCCCTGTAAACAAGGCTGCTCTTTGTGGCACTTATCTCCCTACCACTTTCATAACAGTATTTCCATTCTCTTGTCTCTGGAGGTTTCTGCTGCTTTAATAAAAACATATACATTTTATACCTGCATTTATCACAGGCTGGAGAAAAGTGGGTCTTGGCCATTGCCAACAAACAGTGCATTTCCCCTTGGTCAGCTGAATGTGTTTAAAACATCTGTAATTTGTTAGGAACTGGAGTGGAAGGTTAAACTGGCTCAGGGTTAGTCACTGCTGTGCATCTTTGACATTCAGAGCTCCAGAGCACAGGAACAAATCCCTTTGGAGGCTGTGCAGAGCACAAGCAAGTGGAGGCTGGGAATGTTGGAGTGAGCTTGAGCAGGACTGGGTTTCCAGCTCCAAGAATATTCAAGATCCACCAGGCTAACAGGGATGTGCATGTGGGGTGAGCACACATTTACCCTGAACTCATGGGAAGTACCAGTTGGGTTTTACCCAAATTGTGAGAGCTCCCAAGAATTCATTCTGCAGGGAAGATGCTAAGATTCCAAGGAGTTTCTTCATGGAAGTGTTGTCCCACAGCTGCCCAAGGGACAGAATCCCAGGCCTTCTGCATCCAATCTACCACCACTGTGGGTATAGAACCACGTGCTCCTTTCCTGCTCCCAAGCCAGAGTGCAAATCCTGCCACATTCCCGAGCGTGAGGCTCCACCTGGGGGAACTACCACTTGACATCAGCAGCACAGCCCTGGGCTGTGGCAGAGAATGACCCGTGGGTGCCACACGGCTCCGACGTCCTCCCTCAGCCTGCGGATTAGGGGTTAGTTCTGTCCCGGTTATCATGCAGAGGCTGGGCTGGGTGAGTCCTGGTTTAGTGCTGTTGTCACACCTCACAGGCAGCGAGGGGTACCTGGATTGGTTTAGTTATCAGGCTGGATGTAGATCTGGCGCTGGGTCAACACTTGAGAAAGTTCCCTCTGCAACTGCTTATACTTTTGGTTGTCGGGAATAGCATCGATAGATCTACAGAGAGCAGTGGGAAACCAGGGAGGTAAACAGGGAAAAGAACAGTCAGAAGAACTCAGTAACACAGAGCTGGGCTGCTGGAAACGGCCAGGAGCACGCTTGGAGGAAGAAGAAGTGTAAACAGAGAGGTTAAGAGGAGCAGGGAAGGGCCAGGAGGGGCTGGAGGTGGGGGCTGGGTGTTACCAGTCCTGAGTGGATCAGCTCAGTGCTGCACACAGTGCCAGGGCTCAACTGAGACACAGGAGAGACAGTCAATTACAACAGCTTAAGGCAACGTTCAGCAAGGAAAGACTATTACACATTTCCTTTCCATGTTAATAAAGGCTTCCTGGCTAACCCTCACAGCACAGAGGGACACTGAGGGCTGGGACACAACCCACACAGCTGCTGTGGCAGCTCCTTCTGCCCTTGCTGCTAACACAGCAGCACAAGTCTCTAATTAGCACATTTTTCTACCTTCTCCCACGTTTCAGCCTGTGAGACAACAGCAGAACACTGATCTGTGCCATTAGTTCTGCATTATCACACTGTGTTGGGAGGTCTCTCTGCACTGGAAATGAAATGATTTGGCATCACAGCTCTGTGTTTGCTCTATGAGCATCAGAACTACCAGCTTGGGGTTTTTTTATGTCCAATTCCTGCCCAGGAATGAGCAGAGGCTGAAAGGTACAGTCCAGTTTCCCTA